AGAGGAGTTCTTCAGGTGCTCAGCTGTGATTGTATCCAGACCGCAGGCTTTGTTTTCACTTAGCTTTAATATAGCATCCTGGATTTCAGTTGACCGTATCAGCATGCCAGCCTCCATATCCACATGGCCAACAGGACAAATGTCACTTTTCACTGAATTAAATAAGTCAAAATAATGCTTCCTCCATAGCTCAGTAATATTTTGAGAACCACATATACCTTCAATGTTAGATGGCAATGGTGTTCTAGAGTTGTTCATTGATTTCACCTCCTTCCAGAATTTATAAAAATCCTTACATTGAAGTCCTCTGGCAAGCGAGTCAGCTCTTAACATATTTGCATTTCTTTTAATAAACCGTAGAGCATATTTAAATCTAGCTGTAGTTGCCTTTTTCGACTCAAACAGTGGTCCTTGTCTGGGCTTTCCTGCTGCATGCCAGAGTCCAAAAGCTTCTCTAGCAGCAGCATGATGATCAGCCACAATGTCATTCCACCCAGGTTTTACATGGGGGGGTTTATGATTTTTCTGTTGCAGGCATTCACTACTGTCTTTCAATACTTGGATTATGTTTTCATAGAATATACAAAGCTCATGGCAGTGACTAGAATTATTACAGTTTGGATCAAGGCAAGTCAGTGCATCTATAGGCAGTGTCATGTTCTGCAACAGAACATCTGTCCTAGTTGTGTATTTTTCAATATTCTTTATACTTATTTTTGACCAGTCAATTCTGGCTGTGTGTTCAGCATTCGCATTTTCCAGTAGTTCTGGTACACTGTCCGTATCTAGGGATATAACTATAGGTATGTGACCAGAGGTGGCAAGTCCGTACATAATGTCCATGTTGCTCAGAGAAGCATGTGCATCTGCTGTGCAGACACAGTGATCCAGCCATGACGTAGAGTGCCAGGCATCACTGATATAAGTATAGCTGTTATCTGGTAAAAGCAGTTCACTTGATAAGATAAGATTATTGTCTTTACAAAACTGGACTAAAAGTTTTCCGAAAATAGATGATTTATCCGACAGGTCAGCATTAAAATCTCCAATAACAAACACACACGTTGTGCAGTTATCTTCAATAAAGGACTCTATGAATTCCAGTTTGTTTACAAACTCATCTTCCATTTGGTGTGACTCATATGGCATATATACATTTAGCACAGTGAATTTTTTATCATTGAGGCTTATTTCAATGCTAATAGCCCAATCAACATTGAGCCTTAAAACCTTGACAGCAGAGTCATATTTAGCATTCCACAGAATGGCAACACCTCCAGGTATTCTACCCCGAACTATTCTAGTGCTGAGGTCTGTTGTAGATTCCCCTACTCCATGGAAATCCTCATGCAAGGAGTTCAATTTATCCAAATCCTGTTTGGAAGCCCAGGTTTCTTGAATGCAAATAATATCACTGTCTTTTAAAAGAGTGTCCAATACAAGCCGGCTTGCCTTGTCAGCGCCACTGTTGCCGAGGCGCAGGCCACGCGCATTGTATGACGTAATCCGAATGTTTGCCATATTAAATAGTATTGTCTATTCCTTGCTGTCTTCATTGCCAGTCCCAACTTGGGCAACAGATGCGCTAGCGCGGCTAGGAGCAGAGCTAACTGTAGCTGTAGCATGTTTCCTCCGTGGTTCATAGTATCTCCTTACGAAGACACCTGCTGGCCAGAGTTCGGGCACATACATCTCTGCTACTTCATTACATTCAGCCGTTATATGGAAAGAGCTGAATCTTCCGTACGCAGACTCAATTTTGCGGCATTTAACCTCCCGACCCAATTTGTCACTCAGATATCCCTTTAGCGTATCAGCCTCCAAACTTGGATCAAACTTTGTTGCAAAAACACTCACCAGTTTCGTCCTGATGGCGTGTATGTTTGATCCGGCGCCAGTTCCAACTATGCCAGGGGTTTTACGTTCGCGTCTAGAAGAAGGCATACGTGGCTTTGGACCACTATGCCTAGGGTCAGATGCTTTCTGTCGGCGTCCTTCCCGCACGACAAGGCTCCAAGCTGGGGAAGACGCCAGCCCAGCAGCTGGTGGCTCAGAGCGCGCCAGGCGCGCAGGAGGCACAGGGCGTGCAGGACTCCCCTGCTGTGCTCCACCGCTGATGATGGGTTCAGGGACACCACTGTGATTCTCCATTACAGAGATGCGGCTGTCCAAGCAGGCAGTAACCGCGCGTATGCTTTCAAAAGCGCTGGATTGCTCCTCCATGGACCTTTTCATGCACCCGAAGTCGGCGTTTAGTTGCTCCATTCGGGCCAGCAGTGCAGACGCATCAATGTGGTTAAATGAAACGGGGGGCAAGTCGTCCAGATAATGTGACACAAATCGTGGTATGTTGTCCCCACACTCGTTAAGCACTTTCATGCACAGTTTCACATTATTAATGTCCTTAAGAGCTCCTTTATGCATAACGCAGCGTTGCGAGGAGTTTGGGCAGACCTCGAACAAAACTTTCTTAGAAGATTCTTAGAAGATTCATATGAATGCATCCTCACACCATGAGCACAGCCCCGCGACGGGACACAAGGGAAGGGGGCTGGATAAGATTAGACATTATCCATACTGCTCCTTATATGTAACACAGGCTTCCATTAGGGGCGGGCGATATGGACAAAAATAAATATCAATATTTTTTTTACCAATTCCCGATAACGATATTGTCACGATATCTTTAAAAATCAATAATTTTTACACAAAATAATCTGTAATGTTTTGCTGCCAGGGCATCTATAGATAGAGACAGTGTAGATCTAAATAGAAGATTCACACTTCTTTGCAAAACATGCACAAACATTAACAAACTATATATTAACATTAAAAATCAAATTCAAGTAACACAGAAAGAACACATCCATAAAAAGGCTCAATATTTACTAATATGTACAAATAAAGCAGTGATTGGCTTTTTAGGCACACATTAGACCAATGGGCATCTGTCCTTCTCTAATTGTAATATGTATGTAAAAATAAAAAGGACGACTTCCGCTTCCGGTCTCATGGCTTGAGCAGCGCAATAGACCAGCTCCGTGTGTATTTAAGTAACATTTTATTTTCCAGACCAGCTAATTTCAAGCAAATTGCACTACCACGTCCGCGATATCATAATGTCTCAAAGGAAGGGCAGACAATACACGCAAACGACTCTGGAGGTTGACTCTCAGGCCACCACTGCAGAAAAAAATGACGGTGCTAAAGCTAGCCGCGCCACGGGGCTAACAGAAGACGGTCCTATCTCACTGGGTACTTTGCGTACGGAGCTAAGAGCGGAATTTAACTCGTACAGAGACACAATGCGATCATTTCTAAAGGCAGAGATGGAAGGCCTCACCAAAGAAATACGCGACGAAATCTCATCCCTGCGGGAGACCACCAAAGCGGACATTAAAACTGTTCACGACGAGCTAATGGGAAAAGTCGAGAGCCTGTTTTCAATGCAAAAAGAGGCGGCTGTCACACAGTCGGACATGGAGCAATCCCTCAGCGACACTTCTGACAGGCTCACGGCTCTGGAAAACTCCTACCAGACTCTGGCTGCTGACCAGAAGAAACTTAAGGAGAAATGCATTGACTTGGAGAACAGGAGCCGCCGCCAAAACATCAGGATCCTAAATGTTCCCGAAGGGGCCGAAAACAACATGCCAACCATATTTATAGCCAAATTTCTGTCTAAAGTGCTTGGTGAAGAAAACTTTGACGGTCCCATCCTTGTAGATCGTGCCCACAGAAGTCTCGCTCCAAAACCACGTTCTGGCGAGCGACCCCGACCCATGATTGCCCGTCTTCACTACTATTCGGATAAAGAAAAGATCATGTCACTGTCCCGGACCAAAGGGAAACTTTTCTTTGAAGGAGCACAGGTTCACATCTTCCCGGATATGAGCCCAGAGGTAGGACGACAACGTGCGGCCTTCAATCAAGTAAAAACCAAACTTCGCGACGCTGGAGTCAAGTACAGAATGCTCTTCCCTGCCAAGCTGGAGATAACAGTTGATGATTCCAGAATGACCTTCATCGATCCATGTGCAGTGGAGAGATTCATTAACCGCAACAAATCATCGTCATCGGAGGAGCATTGAACGCTGATTTGGACGCCCGTGGTAATGTTATGACTGGCCTGCATAAACTGAAAAACGGACACTAAACCAGGTACCCTATAAATGTATGCCCTTGTGCCATTTATATTTATTTAGATTTTTAGTCATTTATTTTTTATTGTTTTAAATTTCTTCACTATAGAAGTGTTTTTATTTATTTTTTATTACATATATATTTCTATAATTATCTTCTTTAAATTTGGGAAACGCTGGTCTACAATCAACACAGGTATTGGCCAGAATATGTTTAAGATGGTCTGGAAGATTTAATTCTTTTTTTTTTCTTTTCTTTAGGAGCTTAGTGGTAAGTCAAATGTTCACACACCTTTCTGAGTGCACAAACAACGGTTTGGGGGGGATTCTATGTTTCCTCTGTAGTTCTGATGGAGTAGTTAGCTCAAGGTTTTTCAGAGAGAGAGCAAGGTTTGCTGTTTTTAGAAATTTTGGTTTGTTCTGTGTTTTTTCCTGCACTACTGTTGAATATATTTTTGACTTTTATCAAATGAGGTTGTCCAAAAAATCTAAATTGAGAAATATTTTATTTTTCCACCTAAACAATGATGGCTAGCAACAATACTTTAGACTTCTCATCTAGTCATATAAACTTGGTTAAAATTGTCTCCTGGAATTGTAAGGGACTCAATGGATCTATTAAACGAGGAAATGTACTGACCCACCTTAAAAAATTAGAGATGGATATCGGGTTTTTACAAGAGACACACCTGAGAGATCAGGATCATAAACGATTACGAACTAAATGGCTTGGACAGATATTTCATTCTAATTTTCCTGTAAAAAATAGAGGTGCAGCAATAATTATTAGAAAGACGATTCCCTTTTTGGCATCAAAAGTCATATCTGATCCCCGAGGGCGTTATGCTATTGCTACAGGGAAGTTATATAATAAGCCGGTGACTTTGGCTAGTATCTATGCTCCCAATACCGATGACGAAGCTTTTATCGTCTCTTTTTTTTCAGCGTTACCTAATATGGACACTCACAGATTGATTATTGGAGGGGATTTTAATCTAGTATTGGACCCGACAATAGATAAATCATCACAAAAATCATCCAACATATCAAAGTCTGCTAAAGCCATTCAGAGATTCATGAATATCTATAAATTAAGCGACCCATTTAGGGTATTATTTCCCAACACAAAAAAATACTCTTTTTTTTCTCCGGTTCATCATTCGTTTTCTAGAATTGATTTCTTTTTAATTGATTATGCATATCTGACCAACATTAAGCACTGTGATTATGAGGCAATTGTGATATCTGACCATTGTCCAGTGTCATTCCATATAGAGATGGGTCACGACCCTTCAACTAAAAAGTGGAGGTTTAAAAATGCACTTTTATCAGACGATAATATAATAGAAGATCTGCATAAACAAATTCAAATTGATATGTTTCTTCTTACTAATGATGATCCGAAGATCAAGAGAGCCACCTTGTGGGAAACGTTTAAAGCGTACATTAGGGGCCAGATTATTTGCCTGACTAGTTTAAGAAATAAGCAGCGAAGGGAAAAGGAGTTCAAATTGACCCAAGAACTTAAAGAAATTGACAGAAATTATGCTGATTCTCCCATACCTGCCCTTTATAAAAAGAAGCAGTCATTGCAGACGGAACTCAATTTATTATATACAGCAGAGACTACTACATTTTTGACACAATTAAGACACAAAAATTATGAATACGGGGAAAAAACAGGTAAACTATTGGCCCAACAAATTAAAGAAGAGGCAGCGTCAAGGTTAATAACAGAGATACGTACAGAAACAGGTAAAACCACAACAAATCCCAAAATAATTAATGACACATTTAAAAACTTCTATTCCAAATTGTACTCTTCAGAATCTTAAAAAGACCCACAATTAATGGAACAATTTTTTGATAACCTTCAAATACCCACTATAAGTTTAGAAAACAAAGAGTTATTAGAACAACCAATTTCAAAATTAGAAATAAAGCAGGCTATACAGTCAATGCAAAATTCTAAGTGCCCAGGTCCCGATGGTTACAGTGTTGAATTTTATAAGGCTTTTATAGATCAAATTTCAACTCTCCTTTTAAGTGTTTATAACGAGGCATTAGCTGCAGGATTTCTACCTCCAACGCTATATGACGCATGTATTTCTTTAATTCACAAATCTGGGAAAGACCCACTAGAACCAGGTTCATATAGACCCATAAGCCTTCTGAATGTGGATAACAAAATTTTAGCAAAGATCTTGGCCGTGCGTTTAGAAAAAGTCCTTCCAACTATTGTGTCACCAGATCAAACTGGATTTGTTAAAGACAGACAGTTATTTTTTAACATCAGACGATTGTTTAACATTATTTACACTCAAAATCCAAATCAGGAAGTATCTGAAATATTACTCTCATTAGACGCGGAGAAGGCCTTCGACAGGGTCGAGTGGGACTTTCTCTTCTCTGCCCTGTCGAGGTTCGGATTTGGCCCACACTACACTTCCTTAATCAGGCTACTTTACGCTCAGCCTAAAGCATGTGTTCATACTAGGGGTGCAACGGTTTGAAAAAATCACGGTTCGGTTCGTACCTCGGTTCAGAGGCCACGGTTCGGTTCATTTTTCGGTTCATTTTTCTTTTTGAATAAACCCAGCTCATGTGGACTCGGCACCTGCTCTGACTGCCCCCCTGACCTAGAAATGAATTAAGGTGAAGGAAATGGATGGATGGGTGGATGGAAGGCATATTCCATCCATCCAATTATGTCTATTTAACATAATTAATGAAAAACAACACAAAGTGCAACATAAGAAGGCACTTTATGAGGATATTTACCCTCATATATTACACCACCTTCCTGATTCTCCCGAGGAGGGGGTCCATTCTGGGCCCAGCCTCATTCACTGCATTTATTTAATTTTTGGCATTATCAGTTGTGACTGGAATATTAGTACTGGGCCTTTGTCTTCCATTCCTCCGCTGCTTGTGTCAGTACCTTCGCTGTGTGACTGTGTGACTGTCGTAGAGGG